CTCTAAAATTTTTGAAATTTTCAAACAGGTAAGGATCAATATACCTTTGCTGGATGCTATTAAAGAGGTTCCTTCCTATGCTAAATTTTTGAAAGATCTATGCACTGTGAAGAGGAAACTGAATGTGAAAAAGAAAGCTTTTCTAGCCGAACAAGTAAGTGCTATTCTTCAGAATAATAATGCTTTGAAATATAAAGACCCTGGTTGTCTTACAATTTCTTGCTTTATTGGAGAGCATAAAATTGAAAGAGCCTTACTTGATCTCGGAGCTAGTCTGAATTTACTTCCATATTCAGTTTTTCAAAGTCTCAATCTAGGTGAGTTAAAACCAACTTCTATAACTCTTTTACTTGTAGATAGATCTGTAAAAGTGCCTAGAGGAATAATTGAAGATGTGTTAGTGATTAGTACTTAAAAGAGCATTTTTATCATGGTTTTATATCATCATTTTGCACTTGAAATATCAATAACTCCTTAACTAAAATATGTTTTATAATAATGTATCTAATAATATAAGATACCTATAATTTGTGGTAAATGTCTATTTTTAATGCAGACCTATCACATAAATGAAAGGATTGATTGATGACTTGAAGAACTTAAATTGCAAGGATAAAGATATGGTCAAACTTAGAGAAGAGATGTTGGTGCAATCCAAATCGGAACACTGTTCGGTAATTGGGTCATATCTAGAGCTACAGATCTCAGATTTAGGTCCAATTTATATGGATGGAAAGGTAAGACATAAGCCTACAACTTACATATGGAGCCCAAGATCTAAAAAGGCCATTATCAAGTCCAAATTGTAGCAACAACAAAGAAGCCCGAATCTGTCTTCCAGCCCGAGCACTGTTCGGTATTTTGGCCATATCTGGAGTTCTAGAAGTCCAAATGAGCTGAATTGTTTACACAAGAAAGCTGAGACAATTGCCTACAACTTTCATGTTTACAACTGGCTCCACTTTTGACGTTATCAATGATGTTTTGGGCAGACAAGAGAAGATAAGGATTGTCACCAAGTTAAAAGTTGGCCACCCACTTATCAATTAGTCATCAAATCAATAGTTCCCAGTTTTGGCCTATAAAAGGAGGCATTTGCCATGCATTTAGGCATCTTGGTTTCCAGATCAAGATCATGCTCTTCCTTTCTCTCTTTGTATTTTTTGTAATGTTTATGTTTTGCTTTCATTAATATTAAGTTTATGCCTTTCATTTCCTTTCCTTTACTTAGTTAACTTTTATGTTCTTATTTTGTTTATCTATTTTGCTTTCTTTCATTATGTCTAGCTAAGTTTATTATGTCAAGGTGAAAAGGTTACACTAATGGTGTAAGAATAAGTATAGTATAAACTTAATATGGACTTTAATGTTTGATACTAACATGTTTTATATTTGTTATCTTGTTCACTCTTTAATACTTTGCTTGTTAAATGACTAATCTTGATTTATGTTGTATAACACTTGGTACAACAAATGCTTGGCACTTTCATAGCCCATAATGTATGGTATAACCGACACTTGAGCTATGAAAGGAACTTGATTTGTTGTTAACATAAGTTATAATCATGAATGCTTGACGAGATTTACAAGTACTAGCATTAATTGAATAGGATGACTAATGTAATTATGTTAACAATATATAATCTGATTGGAACCTCCTTTGTGTGTGGTTTCCAATTCAATAATAAGAGTTTATACTATACTTGTTTGATATACCATTAGTGGAACCTCTAACCTTGACATTTGTTATTATTATTGTTTAATCCTTACATTAATTTTCCATCTCCAAGTTCTCATCATTATTATTATTATTATTACTACTATTATTATTATTACTACTACTACTATTATTATTATTATTATTATTATTATTATTATTATTATTATTATTATTATTATTAGTATTACTAGTATTATTACTACTACTACTATTATTAGTACTACTACTATTATTATTATTATTATTATTATTATTATTATTATTATTATTATTATTATTATTATTATTATTATTGTTGTTATTGTTATTGTTATTGTTGTTGTATTATTTTTATTTATAATTTATACAAATAACCTCCCTGTGGTTCGACCCCGGTCTTGCCGGGTTATTTATTACTTCGACACTCCTGCACTTGGGAGAAGACATCAACCTTTTAGTCGTGTCAAGTTTTTGGCGCCGTTGCCGGGGAGGTAAGTTCTTGTATAAATTATAATATTTATTTTATTTTCTCTTTTCACTTTTCTTGTATATAACTTTGTTTCTTTTCTTTTGTTTCTTTTTTATTTTGTTTTCTTCCTCCTTCTTTCGCTTTCTTCTTCTTCTTTTTTTATTTTATTCCTACACGTGCATGAGAGTGTGGTCACGTACATCAAGTGGTAAACTTTGTAGGATATTCTCATCATTTTCAGAAAATATGGCCGAAGAAGATAATCAATCACTTCATAATGAAAATAATGAGAATAACCGTGCTAGAACACTTAGAGACCACATGAATCCCACAAGAACAAGTGCACCATCATGCATAGTTTTTCCTCCTGATGCATCTCATTTTAATTTTAAACCAGGTATTATTCAACTTTTACCTTCATTTCATGGCTTGGAATTGGAAAATCCATACTTGCATTTAAGAGAATTTGAGGAGGTGTGCAACACATATAATAACTTAAATTGTAGCATGAACACCATCAGATTAAAGCTTTTTCCTTTTTCATTAAAAGATAAAGCTAAAACATGGCTACAAAATTTAAGACCAGGATCCATTCATGCTTGGGATGAAATGCAACAACAGTTTTTGAAGAAGTTTTTCCCATCTCATAGAACAAACTCTTTCAAGAGACAAATCACCACTTTCACTCAAAAACCAGGAGAAACATTTTACCAATGTTGGGATAGGTATCGAGACTTGCTTAGTACTTGCCCTCATCATGGTTTTGAAACATGGAGATTGGTTTCACATTTCTATGAAGGGTTAACACCTAAAGATAGGCAAATGGTTGAATTGATGTGCAATGGAACTTTTGAAGATAAAGACCCTAATGAAGCAATGGAGTACTTAGACTTGTTAGCTGAAAATGCTCAAAATTGGGACACTGCGGGTACATATGAGGCACCGAGTAAAACTCAACCTCATACATCTAATGGAGGTATGTACAACCTTAGGGAAGATCATGACCTTCAAGCCAAGTTTGCATCTTTAGCTAGAAAAGTCGAGGCACTAGAATTGAAAAAGAGTGGTCAATTAAAATCTATTGAAAACATTGTGTGTCAAATCTGTGAAAAAAATGAACACTCAACCAGTAACTGTCCAACCTTGCCTTCTTTTAAGGAATGTCTCCATAAACAAGCCCATGCTTTAAACAGTTTCCAAAGGCCCAACCACAACCCATACTCCCAAACATACAACCCTGGTTGGAGAAATCACCCAAATTTCAATTGGAAGAGTGAGAACAACAATGCACAAACTTCACAACCACCATTTCAAGCACACCACAATTTCCAAAATTCTCATGGATATGCACCTCCTTATGCTCCACCTCCTAGAAGAAATCTTGAGGAAACATTGCATGCATTCATTGAAAAGCAAGAGACAATCAATACTCAACTTGCTCAAAACATGACAGATTTTAAACATACTCTTGCTAAATTAACATCTGCTTTTAGTTTCCAAGAGAAAGGTAAGTTTCCATCTCAACCACAACAAAATCCCAAGGGGCAATACAATGCAAATGCAAGTAGTTCCGGAAGCCAACACATGGATCAAGTCAAATCAGTCACTACTCTGCGCAGTGGTAAGGTTATTGAAAAACCCTCTCTTGAACCTTATGAGAAAGATGATGAATCAATCTCTGAGGGTAAGGAAGGGGATGAATCTGAAAATTGCAAAGAAACGACTGATTCACCGCCAGCACTTCCATTTCCTCAAGCCATGACCAAACAAAGGAAAGTCAATCACAATTCTGAAATTTATGAAATTTTCAAACAGGTAAGGATCAATATACCTTTGCTAGATGCTATTAAACAGGTTCCTTCCTATGCTAAATTTTTGAAAGATCTTTGCACTGTGAAGAGGAAACTGAATGTGAAAAAGAAAGCCTTTCTAGCCGAACAAGTAAGTGCTATTCTTCAAAACAATAATGCTTTGAAATATAAAGACCCTGGTTGTCCTACAATTTCTTGCTTTATTGGAGAGCATAAAATTGAAAGAGCCTTACTTGATCTTGGTGCTAGTGTGAATTTACTTCCATATTCAGTTTTTCAGAGTCTCAATCTAGGTGAGTTAAAACCAACTTCTATATCTCTTTTACTTGCCGATAGATCTGTAAAAGTGCCTAGAGGAATAATTGAAGATGTGTTAGTACAAGTCGATAAATTCATTTATCCTGTGGATTTTATTGTCTTGGACACAGAACCTGTTGAAGCATGTAATTCATTTCCTGTTATTTTAGGACGTCCATTTCTTGCAACTTCTAACGCATTGATTAATTGTAGGAATGGACTGATGAAGCTATCATTTGGAAACATGACATTGGAGATGAATATTTTCAACATTTGCAAGCAACCTGGAGATGATAATGATTTACAAGAAGTAGATCATATTGAGGAATTAGTTTATGATCAACTTGAATCTACTTTAAGTAAAAATGAATTGGATGAAACTGAAGATTTGCAAATGATTTATTCTGAGGAAGAAATCACGGATGAAACAAGCACCGAAAATGTTGATGCGAATCTTTTGTCAACAGTGACAATAGATTTGACATCTGACATCACACCAAAGGATGATTACTTTCCTAACGAATCCTTACTTTCTCTTAGTCCAATGCCTTGGTATGATAAAAATATCAATTTTCTTACTTTAGGAGATTTGCCAGCTGATTGGAGTACCCAAGACAAAGAAAAGTTTTTGAACGAAGTGAAGAATTTTTATTGTGATGACCCTACCTTATTCAAATATTGTCCTGATCAAATATTTCAAAGATTCATTCCCGACAATGAGGCCACAACTTGTGCTTCTAAACTACTACTGCCTTTTTTTGGTTACTGGGTTTTGGGTGATTTGTGTTGTTTCAGGTCTGCATTGGCGTATCTATGCTTATTGAGTCTAACTTGCCTAAAAAAAGAGAAGCCCTTTCTTTGCTTTTGTGGGTGCTCAAGGAAGAAGATCAAGGGGGTTAGCTTTCACACTCAGATCACTGCAAAGGTTAATGCTTTCCCTCTTCTTCTTCTTTTTTTTTATGTTTCTTGAAGGTTTCGCATTTCTCTTTAGCTGTCTCTTACTTGGATCGTAAGTGATGCCTTTTGAGAACTTATTCCTTTTCTCGTAGTTTTGAGATTTGTGATTTAACTGTTTGTGACTTATGGGTCTGGGATTGCTTTTTCAGTTAACTTTGAATTTGCTTTCTTTCTTTCTTAGACTTTTCTGGAACTGGGTTTTAGTTGATTTGTCAAATGCCTTTGGTGTTTGGATGCACTGCATAACCTTAAGAAACTGCCAATTGTTATGCAAATGAAATTCTTTAAATGTCCTGTGGATTCTTTCTTATCTCTTCTTTTGTTTACTTTCTCTCTGTTTGGTTCCTTTTAAATAGGCGTAGATGAAGCCAGGAATCTATTCTACTTAATTTCCGGTGGATTAATTTTCCTTACATTTATTTCCCTTGAGGTTTTAGTGTTGAATCAGAAAAATAAAGCTTTCTTTTATCAATAGGTTGCTTCAGTAGTTAAATTTAGAAAGTGTTGTTTAACATTTTGCTCATCTATGAAGTTCAAAATTTGATATCGGTTGGTCATCTTAAAGTGCAGGTAGATATCTTTTAATCTCTTGGTATAAAGTGAGATCGGCAATACAGACTGTTGTGTTTTCTGGAGAACCAGGGATGTCATCTGAGAGTTTGAATGCTGAATTATCAAAGAAGACGTCAGTTTTGGGTTTGAAACTATGGGTTTTAATAGGAATATCTGTAGGAGTGTTTATAATTTCGATTCTTTGTGTCTTATCTGTATGGATTACATTTCAGAGGAAATCTAGGAGATCAGTGGACAAATACTGCCATTCTAAAATACCAAATATATCAAAAGATATTAAGATTGACAGGGTTGGGGTTCATTCCAATGATCACCATGAAAGTGCATTTCTCACGATCAATGATAAATCGAGTGACAAGAATTCAGATAAAATGCTAGCTCATTTGGGAATGAGCAAATCTAGTGATCCTGACATTGCCAGCCAAAGCAGCTCAATTTATCACAACGAGAGGACCTGTAGTTCACTTTCTGGGGAAGAAGGAAGCTCTGGGACTGTTCGAAAGCAATCTTCATTATCATACGCTGGACTTGTCACAGCCTCTCCCTTAATTGGCTTGCCAGAAATTTCACAACTTGGATGGGGCCACTGGTTTACACTTAGGGATCTTGAGTTTGCTACAAATCGTTTTGCAGCAGAGAATGTGCTTGGTGAGGGTGGATATGGGGTTGTTTACAAGGGTAGACTAATAAATGGAACTGAGGTAGCGGTAAAGAAGCTTCTTAACAACCTGTAAGGACGCTTTGAAGATGCCATCTCTTACTTTTGTGATGTTATGATCTTTTTTATTAGTTATTTAACAATTTATTTTGGAATGGAGGTTTTAGGGGACAGGCAGAGAAGGAATTTAGGGTTGAAGTGGAGGCTATTGGTCATGTTCGACATAAGAATCTTGTACGGCTACTTGGCTACTGCATCGAAGGAGTTCACAGGTATGAGGCATTTACTCCTGTTAATTTAATTATTCTGTCTTCCACTCACATTAGTCATGTCACTGTTACTGGGTGCATGAAGCTATATCTGTGGTGTGTGCTTCACAATTCTTCCCCAATATTGCTTTGTTGATTCTTGAGCTTTGAGTGTGATTCTTTTTCACACAAATTTTATCTGCTTAGGATGCTGGTGTATGAATATGTGAATAATGGGAACTTAGAACAATGGCTGCATGGGGCAATGCAACATCATGGTACGCTTACTTGGGAGGCACGCATGAAGGTCCTTCTGGGTACTGCTAGGGCGTAAGTTCTTAGCTCTATTCAAACCACATTTGTCTACCATATCAAAACTAGCTCTCTTAAATGGCTTAGTTTGGACTTTTTTTTAATTCATTTCATCTAAAGTGATTATCTAGTTGTGGTAAAATAAACTTCCTTAAAAGATGATGCAGAAATAGAATTTGATTTTTTTTTTTCACTGGATGTCTATGCAAAGATGATGAAATTGTTTTGTAAACCTGATGCAGGCTTGCTTATTTGCATGAAGCAATAGAACCAAAGGTTGTTCACCGAGACATAAAATCCAGCAATATTTTGATTGACAATGAGTTTAATGCCAAGGTCTCTGATTTTGGATTG